TTAATGGTTCTTTTCGCAGTTAATACAAATGTTATTCCATTCCATTATTTCTTTTACGATTGCATTATACGGATGTTGCTATCGAATATCGAACTTTATAATTCACTAATATTTAGAAAAGTAATTACTAAAGTTGTTACTGTAAATTTCTCGTTGCCAGTACTCAATGTGTTAACCCTTTCCACTCGGAACTATTTCGCTAGATATATTTAACATTTTCTAACTAGACAAAGACGATGTTTTTTTAACCCTCTATAGGCCGAATTTTTGTTCATGATTGTAACAAAATCTATGCAGTGTAAAATTAGTAAATATCCACATATGAATAGAAATTAACAATATATTCAATAGTTTCAGTAATTTCATCAAACGAATATATTTTGTAACTTTCAAGTTACAATGACGTTAAGCTTCCACGTCTGCGCATATAAAAGTTTTAGTTAACTGATTACTTAATTTTATTCGCCACTTTGAGTGCAAAATGAATTAATTATTTTATTTAACACTAGATTTACGGACGTTTATTCTACACTTTATTCTATTGTTCTTAGAAAACTAAACGTTCGTCTGTAGAATTCGAGAAAATTGTAGCTTCAAAACTAGAGCATTGCAATGCGTAGTTGCGCGAATCAAAATCGACTCAAACTATTACTAAATAATGTTTAAAAAGTTCAATATCCGTCAAATTGACCGTAAATCTAGTGTTAAATATTTCACACAGCAATACAAAGTTTCATTCAAAATACTAAATATTCAACTTCATTGTTTCACTGTATCAAATCAAGCGGTGACCGAGTGTCTCGAGTGCAAAGGGTTGATTCCTTGGATCCTCTAAGTCTCCGTCGAAAACGAAGAAAACACTCGTTTCGCTGGAATATCGTCAGCGTTCGTGTTGCTTTCATCTCGATCCCGTCTGTCAAGGAATCCAAGCTTTCTTCTCGCCCACTCGCGAAGTCTGGAACGACAGCCGCTTCACTCTGTTTCCATGTAAAATGTCAACGTGGAACGTAATAAACGCGCGGCCGCGTGACAACCTCTGATTAACACATTGTACGCCGGTATTTACGAGATTTTTACTCTATCCCCTAATTGCCGGTTCGACGTTATTGTGACATTTTAGACGTGTACGACACGAATCCGAAATAATATTAAAAAACAACATTCCTCGTTCCTTTTGATAAGTTACGAATTCATTGGGAATTGAGTTATAAATTTCGGTTCGATGGATAATTAAAAATATATCAGTATAATTGCGCGAAGCGTTTCGAACGCGGATTTTCTCGTCTACTTTCGAACGCGAACAACTTCATTCCTCTTTGCTATTATAAATTACACTTTCTTCTGCAGCGTTCGAAGTTCTAACCGACTCGCGGAGTATTCTCGGAAAACCGTGAATACCTATGCATTTATAACAAAAAAAAACAAAATATTGGATGAGAATCCAAGAGAAGATAAGAGCTCGAAGAAAGTTGAACGCAGATTCACCGTCAGATACGATCTCGTTCGGCAAAAACGTTTATTGAGGCAGTAGACTACCGTCTAATTCCTGGTTTCATCAATTAATTCCTGAAAAACACGCATCTGCGCGGAGATCCGCAGCCTGATTAGCAGACGTGCATAATTTGAAAGCGTAATAAAACTTTGTTTTTCTGTTGCGCGGAAGGAAACTGTACGAAAGCAGAATTTCGTTATATATATTACAATGTATCCTTAAAAATACATAACTACTGTACATTCAGTTTCTTGCATTCTGTGATCTTCTGAAACCACGATCGAATTCCAAAATTCTGACGATTCTTCTCTGAAAACATCGAAATCCTGGTTTCAACCAGTTGACACCATGATTCTGACGTTATTCGCGCAACAGCCTGTTTCTCTGATCAACGAGCTAACCAATTAAACGCAATTGAGTCAGCAAAAGATATCGAACAGATCTACAAACTCCATAATAGGAAAAGAGCAAGGGTATATACATAGTCTCCACTATTCGCCCATACAACAATGATTTGAACGATACGACTCTCACCTTTGGCGCATGCAACAAGCAATCAGAATCAACAGCTTTAATTTACGACAGTTTATACCAATTAACACTAACCCTACCAGACAGGTCAAAATGTCCCATTCCTGATTTCTTCTTCTAGCAATTATTAACAGATTAAGCGCCATGTCAGTCATTACTGACGCTTCTGAGTTACTTGAACTCAATCGTTACGTATTATTAATATAATTAATATTATTATTATAAAATGAAGTACAGGGAATATCCAAAATTCAATTGAGGGCAAATTATTAAACTGAGAATTTTAAATTAAAGCTTTAAAGGGTGTCTTTTGACACCTTCGGTAGAAATAGTGTTAAAAGGAACACCGTATCGAGCCTCGTTTCTGCAATAATGATTTTCCTGAACCTCGATTTTTCCAATAATGATTACAAAATTAACTACAGGGAATATGCAAAATTCAGTTGAAGGCAAAGTATCAAACTGAGTAAATAATTTTAAGATAAAACTTCAAAGAGTGTCTTTTGACACCTTCGGTAGAAATAGTGTTAAAAGGAACACCGTATCGAGCCTCGTTTCTCCAATAATGATTATCCTGAACCTCGATTTTTCCAATAATGATTACAAAATTAACTACAGGGAATATGCAAAATTCAGTTGAAGGCAAAGTATCAAACTGAGTAAATAATCTTAAGATAAAACTTCAAAGAGTGTCTTTTGACACCTTCGGTAGAAATAGTGTTTAAAAGGAACACCGTATCGAGCCTCGTTTCTGCAATAATGATTATCCTGAACCTCGATTTTTCCAATAATGATTACAAAATTAACTACAGGGAATATGCAAAATTCAGTTGAAGGCAAAGTATCAAACTGAGTAAATAATCTTAAGATAAAACTTCAAAGGGTGTCTTTTGACACCTACGTTAGAAACAATGTTAAAAAGAACACCGTACCGAGCCTCGTTTCAATTACTCCCCCACGAATCGGCCGAATCCGGGCGTGTCGTGGTGTTTTCCACGCGGAGAAAGTAAAACGTCGTATTCTAATAAAGCAATCCGATGTGTTCGTGATCGCGGCCGGCCGTCCGATCGTTCCGAGCACGCGATACTCGCATTTCCTCGGAAGAAAGCGAACGAACGGGGTGGGTGGGCAGGTTTCGGTTAAGGTTCGCGGCGAGGTTTGATCGGCGAACGCGTGCGAGCGATACGCCGCGCCGGGACGGATCCGGCTGGGAAAACTCCGCGGCTAATTAAAATCGACGCAAAAACGCGCAGCCGGCGTGAAAGCGGCGTTCCCCGTTTCTTAAAATCGTAATCGGCGCTCCTCTCCCTCGTTTCCACGGCCGAAACGCGTTCGTCCGCTTCAACTTTAATTGGAGAACAGACCGCTCGCGCGCGATACACACCTGGGAACGACGCGAGCAACGAGGCTGATGGAAAGTGACGCATGGGAACTATTCGGAGATCCTTCGAGCTCGAACCTCGAAGAAATCGATGCCGAATTTTGATTCTCGACTTGTCTAGGAACAACACCCACCCCTTTGCACTCGAGAATATTTTTCTCAGTATTCATTATTTCCTATGAAGTATTGACGATACTTTTTGCTATTAACCACTTGCGCTGGGAATGAATTCCGAAATTTGGCGAAGTCTCCTGCCAATTTTGTTTTTACCTATTTCACACGCACAGTCGCGTCGTTCATCTATTGCACACACATTCGTCACTTGTCAATATATCTGTTCTCACACTCAAATACATCCATTCCTACAATATTGAATCTTACGATTTATAATTTTGTTGGGTCGAATCTGGCGACTGAAAGGCTTTCCTATTTACGTCTTCGTTGGAAACGTGCAGCTTAGTTTTGTTAATCAGGGATGCTCGATCGAGAGTTTTCGGAGCTTTCGATTGAAACTGATTTGTTGGATATAGAAGAGGAATGTATAGACAACTGAAAGTAATTGCGAGGAAAGGAAAATGTATTTATGAAAGTGGATACGTGTGAACAGTTAAATAGGCCTTTGTGTGAGATTCGGTGTGTCACTGAAACTCAGTGAAGATATAGATATTTGATAATGTAAAGGAGATCGAGAACGATAATTAGGTTCACCGAATGAAGCAGAAACTGTTGGCTGTCATTGTGTTCAGCAGAGATCTTTTTAATTATTTAATTAGCGATTCTTCGGATTTGAGAACTGGAGTTCGAAAACGATCGATGTCTCGTTGCAGATAATACATTGGGTGTCCCAGGGGTTTCCTTTAGTTCGGTAATAAGGGAATTAAAATAACTTCACTACGAAATGAACTACTAATAACCACAGAAACTAGAAATTAAACAGAGAGTTCACAGATATTCCCGTTGCAGCGATAAATACTCGCTCCGTTCGCTACGATCAAAAAATCCGACGCTTTTGAATCGAAAGTAGACCGAACATTTCCCCTGCCACGTCTCAAAACTGTCGCTGAAGATTTCTAAACCTCGATCTTTTACGCTGAAAGCACCTCGCGAGCGGACCGAGGCTAAAAACGCGCAAAGATCGGCCGGAAAAAGAAAAACGTTCCGCGTCTAGTTCCGGACCGATTGAAATCTTCAATGGAAAACGCGAGTATCCGTTTAGCGAGAGGGAATCGTAAAATCCGTATCTGCATAATGATGCGCAGTCTACTTATTAATCTGCCGCGGTATCTCGCGGCGAATGCACGAAAAACGCGCGGCAGCGGCGCTAATAAACATATAAATTCCGCGGATTACGATCGAGAGTTTCTTTTTTCCCGGGGTATCGAAATGGAAAGTCGTATCGAAAAGCCGGGGGAAAAGTGAAGACCGACGTCTCGATCCGTCGACTCCGTCGCGCGATTCCGTTTCGTTGTTTTAGTGACACTTGCCCGGTGAAATGGAACAGAGCGATTTAAACCCGGCGAAAAACATCGACGGCGCGTTTCGACTTTTAGATGGAAGAGACGGTTGTTCCATTTTGTTGCTTTTTTTGTCTCGCAGGGAGGACCATCAGACGTATCAGCCTACGGTTCTCTTCAAGAGAACGAAACACCACAAGGGCTCGATATATTGTCTCGCGTGGACACCGGATGGACAGCTCATGGCGACCGGAAGCAACGACAAGACTGTCAAGCTGATGCGCTTCAATGCCGACACGTCGAATCTCGAAGGTAAACGCGTTGAATATTTATTTGCGAAAATAAACGTAACACGGTTTGAGAAACTAAGTGTATATTTATTAGTATGTATTACGGTGATTTACGAAAACTGAAAAACGGTTGAGCGTTTGCTATGAACTGCAGAACGACGCGGAGAAAAAAGACGCTCAGCGCGTGTAATAAAAATGGCTGTCCTCCAACGGATACTTTGTAGCGATTAAAGATATATTTCACGCTCACTCTCAACAAAACGAAATAATTTGTCTGTCCGAGCGGTTTCGACTGCGACTTTCTCGCAGTGAAACGTCTGGGTGTGAAAGAGCTCGTTCTGAGGATGTTAACACATTGTTGACCGGCAATTTTACGCAGACTATTTAACGCTAGAACTACCAGTCAAAATGACTGGTTTCGATTTTTTTGTGTAGCAATTATCGATATCTTCGAAGCATTGAATATTCGAAATGATTTTGAAAATAAATAGCTTCATTTGAGTACTATCGTGAATGTCTGAAGAAACTGAAAATAATCTATTGTTAGAATTTTTATAGGAATTGCATATTAATCGTATTAAATGCTCGGTAGTTCTAGTGTTAACGCATTGCGTACCGGCTAATTTTCATAAAACTGAATTGTGCGGATGGCAATTTTCACTGAGGTCAACTTATATCACTGTACATAGAAAAACTCGGATATCATATTGTTATGTAGTATATTTGAAATAGATAATCAATTCAGAAGGATATTCTATAGTCACTTTGAGGAGACGTTAATGATATGGAGTTAGTAATCGAACGTTATAAGCTTCTCAACTCTAGAACTGACGAGTAATCCTTTCTAAAAGATTCTTTGAAATATACAAAATTTCCAGCAGACGAAGCCAAATTATAATTGCTTGAACAATAGGAAAAAGGAAATGCCGATCTCTTGCTGTTCGAGTAATTACATTTGTCAGCAACCTGTTCCAAATACGAAGACTTTAACACTAGGTTTCCGGAACGCGTCAATTTGACGCAGATTGAATTTTATAAACATTATTTGGTAAATGTTTTAATCGGTTTTCGTTGATCCAATTACATATGAATCCTGATTGTCTATTTCTGCATCTACAATTTCCAAAATCTAAATGAACAAATAACTTCCCAGGAACAATAGAATAAGCTGAACAATAAATATAAACCTAGTGTTAATTATACAACTGATCATCAAATTTACAATAACACAAATGTAGCATAGCAAAGCTCTCGTTACCGTTCCGAATTCAATTGTCACTTATCGCAGTCTCGCGTATCGAGTTTATCAAATATCCGAGCCACGTACCCCGGATTTCCTCCAAACCGCGTTAATCGCGTAATAACACTGGTATCGCTCGGATCTCGGCGATTACCGACGAATTCTCCGGCTGAGAGAAGGAAACCGGTCATTAACTCTCGGCAGACCGCTCTATATGTAACGATTTTATGTAATTGTTGCGCAACGAGCTTCGAAAAGCTAGGGAAAAACACTTTCTCGCCGCGCTGACACGTCCGCCGACGATTGTTCCAGGTCAAGAGGTCGAGCTGACGATGCACGATGGCACGGTGCGGGACCTGTGCTTCCTCGAGGACACCTCGAACAAGTCGAGCCTGTTGATCAGCGGCGGCGCGGGCGATTGCAAGATCTACGTAACCGACTGCGCGACCGGCACGCCGTTCCAGGCGTTGAGCGGTCACAGCGGCCACGTGCTCACCCTGTACAATTGGGGTGGAGCGATGTTCGTGAGCGGCTCGCAGGACAAGACCGTCAGGTTCTGGGATCTCAGAACGAGAGGCTGCGTGAACATGGTCACACCAGCAACGGTACCTGGCAGCAGGGTTAGTTTAGCTACCCCATTCGAAGTTGTCATGGCTATTTAGAGTCGGTTACGATCGAATTGATCGCCGAGTGGTATCGATAGTTGTGTCGGAAAGGGATTTCTGGAATACAGTCAAACCTTCTATAAAGCGGTAGTCTTATAACGCGGTTTCCGTTCGACAACATTCCATCTTAACACATTGTACGCCGGCTATATTATATTGATAGATTTTTAAACGTCGATCAAACCGAAATTTCTAACTTACGAAGTGAATAAGGAATTCGTAATTTTACTTTGGATTTGTGTTGTATGTATCTAAAATGTTGCATTAACGAAGGATTATCAATTAAACGATAGACTAAAAATCTTGCAATAATGCGTAATTAAAAAATAATAAGTAATCGTTTCACCCTTTGCGGACGAAGATTCTCCGAAACATACAAAACCTTCAACATATGAAGCTAAATTATATATCGGTTTCTTAATTGATAGAAAGAAAGAAAATGCTTGCTGATCTGTTGCTGTTCGACTAATTAGATCATTTGTCCACGACTAAGTCTTCGAATTTGAATATTTCATCTCACCGAAATGCGGACGAATGTCAGCAAAGGGTTAATTGCTAGTCCTACATTAATCTAACATTTTAGATATGTATAACAGAAATCTGCCACACGATTTCACGAAGCGAAATACAGGAAACGAAAAGAGATATAATATTGAATTATTGAATTAAATCGCGTTATTGTTATAGCACGTTTATCTTGTCGAATGTCATTGCATTAGGTGATATTATTTATAAAATAAAAATGTTTTCAAACAGTCACCGTTTAATTCAATGAATTATAGCGATTCGATTGGGGGTCACCGGTGACCCCCATGGCATTCAACGTGTTAATCGCGTTATAGGAGAGTTGACTGTATAGAAATAGATGAAATGAAGTTGAATAGTAGTTTCATTGAATAACGGATGATAGGAGTATATTTTGTTTAACACTAGAACTACCGAGTATCGAATACGATCAATATGTAATCCCTATAAAAATTCTAACAATAAATTATTTTCATTCTCTTCAGACATTCATTATAGTATTCAAACGAAACTATTTATTTTCAAGATCATTTTGAATATTCAATGCTTTTAACTCTTAGCACTCCAGATGGTTTTGTAATCTATCAGCAACTGCAACTAATTTTTATAGTATCTCTAATGAAAATGAAAAATGCTATAATATTCCTTCAATTTTTTATTTCCATTATCAGTACAAAATTTGGATGTGTGGAAAATCGAATAATCTTAGGGTAGTTTCTTTGATTCATTGAAATATTCAGTATTACAACTGATGCAATATTGGAGCCTACAGAGTTCAAAGGGTTAAGGTATCAGTAATTGCGAAACAAAAATCGAAACCAGTCATTTTGACTGATATGGTAGTTCTAGTGTTAATGGTAATTTATGAGCATAAAAATGTGATTGATTACAGGGGTTGTTTGTGGAAAATTTGATTTGTTTGGTATAGAATGTTATCTTGATTTCTAATCTGATCTGTTGTCTCGCTTCGGTACCACTTAGCTTTCAAAACCATTTATTACCGGGCCTGTTCATTGTTACAGAGTGACTTTACATATTTCTACTTCCGTGAAATAACTTCTCACGATAATGACAAGTCAGTCGAGAATGTATTAGCTGACTCCGGGAGTAGGTCGGGTTCTGATTTTTCCAATATGAGGCGACGCTAATGAACAGGTCCCCGTTTCGAATAGTTCTCATAGCTTATCGAGGAAACAATACACGAGATTGTGTAGTAGTTTATTCGATTAGCGCTTTCTTCCTGTCATCGATCGTGTTTGCGAATATTCTTTCTGTCCTAAATTTCATTTTAAACTTCGAACTCCGAGCTTCCAACTTTCAACTTATATATTTGGAGCTTCGTGTTTCTAATTTTCAATTTCGAACTTCCGAGTTTCAGCTTTCAACTTATATACCTAAGTTTCAAATCTCAAATTTCGAAGCACGAATTTTCAAATTTCAAGTTACATATTTGAAATTTCATGTTTCGAATTTCGAGTTTCCAACTGTCAACTTTCAACTCACGTGTTTGAAGTTTCAAATTTTGTATTTCAAATTTCCAACTTTCAACTTTCAACGTTCAACTTACATACTCGAACCTTCAAATCTCAAATTTCGAATTCCGAATTTCCAACTTTCAGCTTTCAACTTATATATTTCAATTTTAAAATCTTGAATTTCGAATTGCGAGTTTCCAGCTTTCCATATCTGAAGTTTCAAATCTCAAATTTCGAATTCCGAATTTCGAATGTCCAACTTCCAACTTCCGACCGACACATTCAAATGTTCAAGTTCCGAATTAAATCGTACCAATTAAATCAATCAACATTCTCACCAAGGAAATTCTTATACATTTCCCAATACAAGCACCCAAGCTACAGAAGCCAAAGATAAAACCAAAAATTCGATTCTCCGTTACTAACACAAGAAGCTTCCATGACAGAAAGGACTTTCGCAGTGCACGGCGCATCCAGCATGCATCAAGGACATCGATTTCAGTTGTTTCAGTTTCGTTTTCAGTTCGACGTCCGATAAAGCATTCGACCCACGTTTTATCAATGCGCACCGAACATTCCACCCCCATCACTTGTCACGTACTCCGCATCTGTCTGCTCTCTCTCTCTCTCTCTCTCTCTAGTTGCCTCTCTCAGGATCGAACCTTTATCGGACGTGTTACGGTATCAATGTCGAACAGAGCCGGTACCTTGTGTCTGATCAGCATTTGATCCCGTTGCAGGTCGGCAGCCCTGTCGCGGCGCTCTGCGTCGATCCATCCGGACGTCTTTTGGTTTCCGGTCACGAGGACAGTAGCTGCGTTCTCTTCGACATCCGGGGCGGAAGAACCGTGCAGTGCTTCAAACCGCACGCCGCTGACATCAGGAGCATACGTTTCTCGCCTTCCGCTTATTACCTGCTCACCGGCGGATATGATAATAAGCTTGTTCTTACGGATCTGCAAGGTAAGCTTCACTTCCCCTTTCAACCCTTTGCGGACGAAGATTCTTCGAAATACAGAAAACCCTCAAATGGAGCTAGATTATAGTTCGATTACTTAGACAATTGGAAAAGAAACTACGTACTACTTAGTTTAGTACTTAGTAATTTCATTTGTTTGCGACTTAATGTTGCAAATATGAACATCTCGCTAAAGTGTCGACGTTCGTCCGCAAAGGGTTAACCCTTTTAGTGTCAAACAACGATACATCGTTGTCAGCAACTGTTAGAGTCAGCTTGACGAGGTTTACGACATGGAACAGGCAGGCTACCTTTGAACCTGACAAACTTAGTTTTTTCCTCTTGATTTTCAATTATGGTACGCTCGTCCAAAACGATTTAGGGTTCGGTAGTACATGTAAACGCCGAGGACCCGAAGGATGATTTAGAAAAAATCAACGTCAACAAGTTTCGGTTCTTTCCAAACTTGACCCATGAGTCACCCACATCTCCTCCACTTTCTCTCGGAAAATCCTGAAACGAGGAAATGGAGGGGATTTCTGGGTGCAGGTTTTTTGGCGACAGACTGAAAAGCGTCAGAGTTTAACAGATATCACAGAGAACACAGGAGATAAATAGAAACAGCATAGAGAGAACATAGACAATGTTGCTCAGTGGAGAAAGAATAGAGTTAAGATAGTGTTAAAATTTCTTTATAAGAGCTATATACATCAATTTCTTCGATTGGCTTGTATTTCAGTTTTGGTATTACTAGATCAGTTACTTGAACCATTGCTTAACACTTTGACTGCCACGTCACCCATGGATGACACCATTTTTAACGTAATCGTGAACATTCATTTTCTTGGTGATATATCGAACAAACTAAGTTTTATTGGATGAGATATAAGAAAAATAGTAAGGTATTCCTCACGAAGAATCTTGACCCTACTTTCTGCTTTATTAAGAAAACTGTTCCGACTGCATAGGCACTTCAATGAGCATTTACTTGGCAGTCGAAGTATTAACACTAGGTTCACGGAACGCCAAATTGACGCATATTGGATTTTAGAAATATTATTTCGTAAATTACGCCGATTTTGATTGATGCGATCACACTGACATGCATCCCAATTACCTACTATCAGATCTCCAGTTCCCACAATCTAAATAAACGAGCATCAGTTCTTTTAGGAATAATAGAACGAAGTGTACAATAAATGCCCGTAAACCTAGTGTCAAAGAAGTGTCTGTACCTTTGCAATAATTGTAAAAGAGGAAACCAGGGATGGGTGATTTCGACCGGTTCTAGTTAACTTCACCCATGCGTCGAGACCTACATTGCATTAACCTCGATTCGCAACGTTTGCAGGTGACCTGACGATGCCCCTGCCCAGCGTGGTGGTCGCCCAGCACCAGGACAAAGTAATCTCGGGTCGATGGCACCCAACGGAATTCTCGTTTCTCAGTACCTCCGCCGACAAGACAGCGACCCTGTGGGCCCTGCCGCCTGTCTAGGCCGGCGCGCACAAGAGACACGCGTTCATCAATCGCGACGATCGTTCGTCCCTCGACACGATCGCGCCCACCCGATCGTTCGTTCTCGCTCGGACGTACACCGGCAAACTCTGTCCCGTCTCCGGGAACACGAACGAGAAAAGGGGACGCTCGGCGAGAGACGAAATTCCAACGAAAACACACCGGCGAACACAGGTTTCTAATAAAAAAAGAGAAAAAACCGAGTGGGAAAAGAAAGAAGCAACGGGAAACCGTTGCCCGGAAGAGGAGAACGAGCGATCGCCGGCGATACCGACGTAACGGAGGAGAAAAAAGCGGGAAGAAAGTTTCACGCACTCGCGTCTAATTCAACCATGACCAATTAAAAGCTTTCTGAAGCCGCGCGGACGCGGCTGGCGGATCGCGATCGCGCCGCATGATGTGACGCGTGACGTTTTCGCGATAAGGATTCTTAGAATCCGCGAGAAGGAGCGAGCGAGCGAGCAGGGTGTCGTGTATGTTTCACGAGTCGTGAGTTAAAACACTGTAAAAGCCGCTTCAGGGGACGAGTGAAAGCGTGTTCTTTTTTTTCGCGGCGAGACGACCGGCGAATCGGGCGAACGACGAGCCGTGCGCCCGTCGACGGAGATCGTCCCGACACAAATCACAAGACTGCGGGAAAGAGTTCGCTGAACGAGGGGGAGCGGAGTGAAGCCTCCCTCCTCGGGTCGATCGAGCCGATCGACGTTTCCTTTTCTCGCGGCTACGACGCGCGGCCACCCTTGATTTTTGTATTGAGTTTTCTTCGCGACCGTGTTCGCCCCCGATGTGTACATACGTTAGCGTAGCCTTTAAGAGCGATCACCGCGCGTAATCGCGCCCCTTTGATTTTCTCCCTCTCCTCTCATCGCTGTCTGTAACTGGCATCTTGCCGACCGGTGATTTCGTTCAAAGGAGACGCGTCCTCGCGTTTACTTGCCACGAGAACGTTGATTCGTCATAGTAGAGATAAACGGAGACGGTTGCTAACACGTTCGCTGTCAGCGTTACATGTTCGTGACGGTTATCCTTTACTTTACAGAATGAAAATGGAATTAATACTGTGGATATTGTTATTAGAAATTATAAAGTACGACATTGTATTTAGAAACTCGATGACTCGATTCTGTTCCATTTTTCTAATATTCTGTTTAGATTTATTGGGCTGAAGGAAATGTTACTGAGGAGACCGTCACTGAAATAAGGGTTGGTAGCAACGTGTTAACCCTTTGCGGACGAATGTCGACATTTCGACGAGGTGATGACGAATGATTTGATTACTCGGACAGCAAGAGATTAGCGTGTAGTTTCTGCTTTTGCTATTATTTCGGCGATTAACATGATCGTTACCAGCTTCGCATATTTGTGACGGTCGTGATCCTATGTTTGACATAATGAAAATGAAATTAATCTTATGGATATTGTTAGAATTATAAACCGAATTGTATTTAGGAACTCAATGACTCGATCGTTTCATTTTTCTGATATTTTGTTTAGATTTATTGGATTGAAGATAATTGAGGAGACCGTCACGGAAATAAACACTGCTGTGTTAATGTATAATTCAGCTTGATCTGTTGAAGGTTTTACGCATTTCAAAGAATCTTCGTCCGCAGAGGGTTAATCGTTCAGCGTCGTAATTGTCACGTTACTTTATTACCTGGTTATGATATTAAATATTTATCGGATGTCGAACATCTTGTGTATCGTAATTGTTTTCAAGCAATACGGAAGCCAGTCACCGGTGACCATCATGGCAGTCGATGTGTTAAAACGATCTTTAATTTGATCAAGTGATCCTCGAACTGATTGAAATTAGTGGAACTAATGAAATTGGAAACGCAACTCGTCTCGTGACCGGTCAGCGAGGTGTTCACTTTCCAAGCCCGCGAGATCAGCCCACTTGCGATACGCGGATCAATTTTCCTATCTCTTCGTTTCGTTTCTTTCTGCATCCCTTCCGCTCGGCTGGTAAATTTCTTATTAAGAGGGTGCATACGGAAGCGTTTTAGATTATTTAATTGAACATACACCGTGTACATCGCTTTACGTTTGTAATTTTCCTTTTTTCTTTCGTTAAGAGAAATGAACTTGTTTAATAAACATTCGAAGTGGTAGAGATTTCTTTTATATCTTATACTTTTTTTTCTTTTAAATTATTCCGTATACGAGCTTCGTTTTAGATGAATTT